ACCTGACACCGAGCTGCAGCCTGGTCTTCATCTTCTGATCCTTACACAGCCAAAACAAGATTTCCTCTGTGCAATGTGTTTTGGAACTATGATCTGTTTTAAGTGAAGAAAGACAATATTATACATATGTTTTTTTTTTTTTATATAGTTTTGCTGTCCTGTCTCCCAGCTGAAATTATGTTGCAGCTGCACAATCTGTTAACAGCAAGCACAAGTCATCATCTGCACCCTAATATTAGCCTATGAATCCTGTGTGCTAAGTGGGCATTAGGGCTGTTACATGCACACACACACACACACACACACACACACACACACACTCATACACTTCGAAGCAGGAGAGTGGGACTGCATCTGGTAGTGATTCCCCTGAGGTTGGAGAAACACATCAACAACAACATCCAGTACATGTTGCAAGGCAGGATGGGTAAAAAAAAAAGGGAACAAGTAGAGGGCAGAAACCAAACAAAGCCACCTGACCACTTATGAGTTCTCCTTCACAGAAAGCACAGCACAAAACTACAATTTAGCACTAAGGATCAATCAACTACGTTAATATTGTTCAATTAAACTTTAATATTCAGTGCAGTGCCCCAGGAGGACAAATGTGTGCAAGCTGCAGAATAAAAAGAGAAACAGAGGAAAGACCCTGAAGACACAGTCAATACTGTCAGCTCTGTCTGGCACATCAAAGTGAACCTTCAGTGTGAATATTTAAGATGCATTCAAGTGTAGAGCAGCACAAGGCTAAAAGGTTCATGTCCCCAGCAGCCAGGGCAACTTTGTAGGAACTAGCAGAAATGTTATAGCATGAGCACTATAGAACTGTATGGTCAGATTAATAAAAATGTTAACTGATTCTTTGATCAGTCATTTATTAGTCTAAAATCTGATCTAGTCTGGCAATAATATAGGATTGCAGCAAATAGTTTTAACCATTAATTGAACAAACTGCAGATCAAGATTGATTTATCCAAATCAGCCAATATAAGAGAGTTCAGCACACTGTCAGGCCAATTGATTAGTCCAAAACCCAAATCAATGGGTCAATTAAAATGGCACAGAAGTGTCCATGACAATTTTCTAATACATCTTCTAATTGGAATCAGACGAATGAATTTCAAATAAGACTAAGAAAAGCAGCACATTCCCACCTGCTTAAACAGCTAAAGCTCAAATTAAATAATCTTTGAATTACATTCAATTCATTTCTTATTGTATATGAATCTGGACAGACATGCATGTAAACTGAAACCTGACTGGTTGGCAGTGGCATACTGTACAACCATGAAGTGGTAATTTTAAAGTTTTTAAATTTAGAAATGTAATGACATAGCCTTTTCTCCCCAGTATGACAAATCATTAGAATTAGTGCTTGTACACATTGTTGAATCAGAAAAGGTGAACACAGAAAAGGTCTGCTTCTAATTTGTCTTATTACACTAGCTTTAAAATAGTCACAGATGTATAGAGGAGGTGTAGGTGTTGCTACGACGACTAAAATATGATATGACAGCTCCCTTTATGACTAAACCCTGCCTCACACCGTTCCCTAACTGGATTAATATCAACATATCATTCATGAATCCTGCTTTTTTGAATGCTAAGTATGAAAGGAAGTATGACTAATCTGTGCACAAGGTCTCAGGAAGCTACATCCTTCTCTAGCAGCAGAATAGAGCATTTCCTCTCCAGTCCTGTGCGAGCTGTTGGTGTCATGGCTGTAATTTATGTGGACACCGGGATCGCTGACGTGGAGCGTGGAGAGGAGAGCCACTGGTCTGTCTGTCCCCTTTCTCTCTTCTCCTCCATGGATCCACTCAAACCACAACAACATGCCTGAACCCAGACAGGCAGTCTGGGTTCTCAAAGTCATTCTAGCCAATCCCTTCCACACCCATTCCTCCCAGCAGCATCTGAGCCCCCAGGCCACAAAGGAGACACAGTTGGCAGAGCTATGAGAACCTGAGCCCCAACTGGAGCTCAGAGGAGCTTTGTTCAAAACAGTATTAAAGATTATGATGAAACTCTTCAATATGTAACTATAGATGATCACTTACCATCTCCAGTTTTGATAATTAATGAACTTTTTATAAATCTCCCCAGTGGTGGGAAGCAGCTCAGTAGCTATTGACATGCTAATGCTCACAGTTTATCTTAGAGCAGACTGTTTTATCCATTCCTTAAATGGTTTATTTTGGAAAGGCTATAAAAGATACCACTGTCCAAACTCTTTATTTATAAAGTATCACTCAGTTATGGATGCTATCACTATCACTGACTAAGGAGAGGTTTGTCTAATGGTCATTACTATCAGTCTCTGACACCAGCTTGCCAAATGTGAATATATCATTAGAATTATTATTATTATTATTATATCTTTTGGTTTATGCACTGATTGCCACCAAATAAGCAAGATGAAGATGTTACTCTGGGTTCTGAGAAACTATATAATTAAACGTTTAACCGAACAATCCAAAAAATAATTCAATAATCAATAAAAGAATCATTAGATGCAGCTCTGAGCCCTTTTTCTGAGTGTAATGGTGGAGAATGACTAATGAGGGAGACAAATTAAAAGCCAGTGGAGGAAGCTTTCTAGGCCAAAATCTACATTTCCAGGCTGAAAGTGTGCCAAGAACATAACGCCAGCATGACCGGGAAGCTTGCAGGTCCAAAGGGAGTCCATGTCTCATGATTACCTCCACAGAGGAATACTGAACTCTAACTGAGACTCTGACTGGACGGTAACAGGGCTGGAAAAGTAGGTGTGATGTCACTGCACATATCATGAGAGAGAAGTTTTCATCTGAGAAGGAGCTATAACGTGTTCAGTGTAAACTCCTTTAGAAACAAGAGCAGAGGTTTCTGTCTGCAACACACAAAAAAATGGTGGAAGCCGGTGCCACTCCTATTGTGCAAACAGAGAGTCTTTGAACATGTCATGTCTTGGAGAGGCATCTCAACACTCGCAGATGAAGTTTCCTCTAGGGGAAAACCCTCAGCTGGTGGCATAATGTCACTGGTTGACTGGTTTCAGGGGTTATGAGGGATGACAGGAGGGATGAGGTCAGGAAGGGTAAGTATGTGTGTTTGGGGAGGGGGGTTGGGGATTTAGGTGGTCTACACCAAAGATCTGCCAACCTTAGACCTGAATAAATCACTTTGATAAGGGATTCTGGTCCCCTCTGGCAGCTCTGCCGGCACACCAGGCTGAAAAAACAAGCCCTATTTGGCTTTTGTTAAAAATTTTTAAACAATGAGACTCACAGCTCTTAGAAAGGAGTCACAGAAAAAGAATGTCTCTGTTGAACTGACGCCCCTGCCTGTTTCTGTGTCTAGCATTCCTGATAACGTCACATGCTGGTCAGCCCAGCTGTGTGCTGGAGCTATCACTGGAAGGCCTGGGATGGGACCAAAACATGCTGTGTTTTCCACCTTAAATCACTTATTGATGGGTGGCTTTGCTCCGGAACAATAAAAACTTGTTCAGCATTTCAATAAACACACTATGGAAAACAATTAACACGAGTCTCCTGATTAAGCTGCGTATCTAGCACCAAAGGACAGCTTCAAAAAATGACAAGCATGACTCAGAAACATGCATAGGATGGTACATCCCCCTGAACAAGCAGCATCCAGTTATATTATATTTTTAAATGCACAGATCTTCACAGTTTCATTGTAAACCATTTTAAAATCCCAATAATAGTCTGTTTGTAAAGCTGCAATAATTAGTGGATTAATCAGTTCTAGCTTCCCAAATGTGATCAATTGCTGCTTTTTCTTGTATTAATAAGACAGTAAGCTGAACATCTTTGGGTTTTAGACTGTTTGTACCACTGTCATTATGGCTTATTATTACTTTAGACTAATTCTGATCTTTTAAAACTCCAAAGTTTCCATTCATTAGTGAGCAGGATCACTATCATCCAATATTATTAGATTGCTGCAGATAAATGTGTATCAGTGTGTGTTGGCTGATGAATAACAACTCCAACAACTTGGCTTTTCATGTGTAAAATGTCTCTTGGTTTGTATTTTGGTCACAATTTAAATTTTAAACATATCTAAAGGATGCCAAAGACTATAGTTTTTATTCTTCATCTTCTTGCAACAGACGCCCACACATGTAGGGAGTGAGCACCATGACAACCTGCAGTGATAAAAACCTGCTGCAGATGTTTGGCCCACTCTCCGATGCTCTCCACATCAAATAGAAATGTGGGCACTCTGCCAGTGTACAGTCACCTCTTACCAGTACACAGGTCAAGGTAAGAAGCTCACTTCAAGTGTTTTTATAACGCAATAGAGATTCATTTATTACAAAGAAAACCAGTTTGAGCCATCACCACAAAATATAAAACATACTATAAAACAAATTATACTACTGGGGAAACCAGAGTAAACACATTCAATTTTTAGCTGCTACAAAAAAAAAACCTGGGCAGTGTCAGATGGTAAAGCACTGCAGCAGCCAGGATCTGAGCTGCTGAAGTGCTCCTGAGCAACAAAGTGAATCCCTACCGCAGAGGGAGGCGGATCTTTTTAGTATCTCACTAATATTGTATTTGCAGAGAGCTCGTAGCTGCACCAGCTCTCCGGTGTCTGGTCTGCCTGGCTGCACATGTGGGCCATTTTTCACCCTGTGCACCACTGATGTGTTTGGTAATGGAGACCACAGCTCGGTGCAGCATTTCCCGGATCTCTCCTGGTTAGGACCCGCCTGTTAGAGATGCACACAGCCCGCACAAACATCCTGTTTTCTCAGATTTGGGAAGGAGAAATCTGATAGGATGCATTAGAGCAGCATCAAGCATCCTACTGCCCACGAAGGTGTGTTTCATAAACAAGTACACACCATTGTGATCGATAGGACACATTAAGAACAGAAACAGATCAAATGACATAATTAATGCCCAGAAACCCACGTCCACCTCCTAACTACCAATATTACTCTACACTAAGGTTATTCATGACCCCCCCACCCCAAAACTCACATTTGTCTGATAGTGTCAGCTTCTCTTCGAAATTATGCCCAAGCTCCTTATAATCCATTGTTTGCATTCAGGCGGATCCGAGTCCCTTTCCCGTTGTTGTCATTCCTCAGTGTCGCACAAGTACAGGAGATGAAACTCCCGGTACTGGTTGCACAAACACGCCCTTTGTAAATCCAACCGGAATAGGGGAAAAGTGGCCTAAGATTATTTGGAAATAAAACAGGATCTGGCTGAAAACCGGGGGGACTCTCTACAAAGTTCAAATAAAGTGACTTGGTGTCAGTGTCTTGGTTAGAGACTCGGTCCGGTCCAGCAGGTCTACAGGTCTTCAGTGGAAAATCTACAGTGTGAAAATAAAAAAGGTCCAGCGAGTCCCGCAGCCGCAGCGAAGACTCAAGTTAGAAAGATCCCAAAACCCACTACCGGAAACAGTTTCACAATAAAACAAATCCACGTCCTTTGGAGTATTTTAAAACCTCAGGGTCCATTTTGAGTAATTAAAAACACAATTTAGAAAATTGCACAAACGATATGACAAATCATGACATGACAGTAACATTTAACACAGATAGTACATATACAATAAGGAAATAAAATTAAAATAAGGAATTCCAGCAGGGTGCTGTAATAAATAACCTAAATAAACACTATAATCTTGGTAGACTACTCAATTTGTTTTGTGTGTGTGTGTGTTAAAGCTTGCTGTTCTTGTTGTCGTCGTTCAGAACGTGTAATAACAAATATTTTGTGTCAGTGTGATATTAAACACATGTGACTTGACAGGTCACAGTTACGACACAAAAACAATAATCTACAGCACCTAAAAGAGAAGCCAGTGATACTGGAGAAAGATGATCATCCCATATATTAGATTCTAATTATTTATGTAATTATCTCCTTTCCATATCTACATTAATACATATGTATAATAGGCTTATATTTTCTACATTTACATGTGTAGGCTGTTCCTATACTACCTTTACATTCATGCATTGGTGATGATGTGAATACGTCAATAAAAAGTGTTTTTAAAAATTGTTTTAGAGAAATAACATAAAAATGTTTAATTTCAGGGATTCTAGATTGCATCGACTCCACTTTTATCCTGAAGACAAGGCAGTTTAATTTCCGGTTGTTCTCGTTGATTTGACACGCCTACCGCAGCGACAGGCACACGCCGGACAACTGGACTGTACCAACGCTTTTGCATGGGAGGAAACTAATTCACCTATTAAACACCAGGCTAAATAATCAATCCAAGGTCAAGAAACTTATGAAAAAATACATTTTATTTGCCGTAAGACCTCTGTCAACAGTTTCCTCGGCATTAACAGGACAAAAGTTCTCTTTAAACCTGTTGGAGCCCGAGTGGTTCGATCCATCAGATGATTCCCAGAAGCTGAAAACAGCCTGCTCCCTGTCATTTAAAGTGGGTTTATGGTGGTTAAAAGTTTTCTTTACAGATTTAAAGTACTTGTGTTTTACTTGAGCATTTTCTTTTCATGCCACTTTAACTCCACTGTACCAGTTCACAGGGAAATATTACTCGACTACTAGTATTTGACAGCTTTAGTTACTTTACAAATTCAGATATTTGCATAGAAAACTCATTGTTAGATGTTAAATTGTTATTGATCAAACTAGCCGAGAGTCTAAACAAAGTATTGTTCGATTTATTGATCAGACTGACAGAAAATGAATTATATTGGTACTATTTTATAATGATCAAAAGTCAGTTTTCATGCAAATATGCAAGCATGTCATGGTTCTCCTTTTTTTTCCATTCAATTTTTTAAAATAATTTTGAGGTTTGAACCTTTAGTTGAACAAAAGAAATACTGAGAAGATGTCACTTTTTGTAATTGTGATGACATTTCCCACTATTTTTAGATTTACTTTTTTTTAATGTCACTTTATATTGTAATTTTTCTATTATTTCACAGTGTTAGTTACTTGTTACGTACATTGTTAAATTTCAGAATTTGTTCTTGTAATGAAGTATTTGAAGTATATAGTAGTAGTATTTATATAGTAAAGGTTTCTTATTATTTCCCACACCACTGATATTTATTTAAAAAAAACACAATTACCACAGGAAAACATAAATCTCACTGGAATATGAGGTAAACAAAAATAAACCAAAGTGGCCCAGGTCACTGTAGACCCACACTGGAAATAGTCTGACCAGAACTGCTCTTGATCATTTGGATTAAAAATTCTGATAATTTACAGAAGAGGTGATCTGTGTTCGTCTTTTTCTCATAACAGAGTCATAATAATTGCTGAAAGGCCAAATGTAGCTCTATCAGACCTAATAGAGTCGGATCTGAACTGCTGGTGCCTGTAAGAGAGTGAACGGGTCTGTTGTTGAGTCCGGAGTCTCTGTTTAATGGGATTTAGAAAAGCAGGGATGGGAAATGCAATATGGCAGTAGGGAAAAGGCAGAGAGTGTTCAATAAAGAGAACCTTGAGAACCTCTGTCTCTGTCTGAACACACACCAGATCAATAGAGTGTCATAACTAAGTTACAGTATTTGCTGCCACGTGTCCATGTCTGCCACTACAATACATATCTTCATTTTCTATCAATTTTTTTCTATTCTATTCTACACTCACCGGCCACTTTATTAGGTCGGGCAGTGTATTTTATCTATTATTTCTGTCCACAATTCTACAGATATCAGACAGGTTTAGACACCCTCAGTGACACTGTAAAATTGTGTTGCTTTTCTTGAAAATGTTGCTATTCTAAGTTGTATTATAAAAGGGAAACATAGCAGTGGTGTGTCTTAAGGGATATAACTTCAAAATAAATGAAAGACCTAATTTATCAGACTGCATTTCGATCAGCGAAGTGACTCTTTGTTGCACTGGTGATGGTTTTCAGACACCAATAGCAATGAAAGGACAAACAGACTGCAGCTAAACATTTACAGTCAGGTCCATAAATATTGGGACATCGACACAATTCTAACATTTTTGGCTCTATACACCACCACAATGGATTTGAAATGAAACGAACAAGATGTGCTTTAACTGCAGACTGTCAGCTTTAATTTGAGGGTATTTACATCCAAATCAGGTGAACGGTGTAGGAATTACAACAGTTTGCATATGTGCCTCCCACTTGTTAAGGGACCAAAAGTAATGGAACAATTGGCTTCTCAGCTGTTCCATGGCCAGGTGTGTGTTATTCCCTCATCCCAATTACAATGAGCAGATAAAAGGTCCAGAGTTCATTTCAAGTGTGCTATTTGCATTTGGAATCTGTTGCTGTCAACTCTCAAGATGAGATCCAAAGAGCTGTCACTATCAGTGAAGCAAGCCATCATTAGGCTGAAAAAACAAAACAAACCCATCAGAGAGATAGCAAAAACATTAGATGTGGCCAAAACAACTGTTTGGAACATTCTTAAAAAGAAGGAACGCACCGGTGAGCTCAGCAACACCAAAAGACCCGGAAGACCATGGAAAACAACTGTGGTGGATGAC